GTTAATATAGAAGCTTCATAGCTCATGAAAACCTTGTTGGAGAACTCCAAAATCTGCCAGTAGATTGAAAATTCATGTTTCTTTTTCCAAATTGTCAAAATTACACCATTTACCATAAATTTAAAACCAATATTCAACTATCTGACAGTCCTTTAACTAATCTCGTATAGCTTTCTCACAAAAGCAACCAAAACTAAGCTATAAATTGTGATTTTTCATTAACATTTGCATTAACCAAATAAATAAAATTCTGCAACAGAGAAATCCTTATTAATTTTGCTGCAAGCAATAATAATTTGACAACAACTCAGGGACTTTGCAGCTGAGCCGGGTTGAACTGCAGGCTATGTCTACACAGAGTTGATTGGAAACAAGAATTGAATCAAATTAAAAACGTAAGTAGTAGCAAATATAATACCTATGATATGTGGAGCCAGTTTTTCCAGCTTCGATAACACCTGTGGGCACTTGGAGAAGCGCCGTACATGTTTTTGCATTGGCTTTTGAGTGGCTGTGCTGTTGCCAAAGAGGTGCAGGAGTTTATATTGCAGTAAAAAAAAATGGGCCTGCACCCACCAGGCATGTCTTCAAACTGTAGGTAGAAGCCAGAGCACCCAGAGGAAACCCACGCAGGTACAGAGGGAACATTTAACCAACAAGTGACGCCTGCATTACATCACTTACATGTACATTAGCACGTGATATTATCTTGCAACTCTTTAAGAAGGCTATAGTTACTACTGTTAACCAGATTTACAGCATTTCTGACCCTACTTCACAAAAAGTACATTGTTTCACTTCCAAAAATAGAAGTCATGTACACTAAGTGATGATTATGTCACTGCAAGCAGCGGAGCACACATTCTTGTCGGGTAATTTATAAAGCCACCCGTGTGTCTGATTCTGTTTTATAAATCTCAGTCAATGTGGAGTCACCCCCACTCCCACAATTATCCATAAATGGATGTAGAAACTCTTCCTGCTATGGCTATTTATAGCACCAGCTCTACTAATGCACCACACACCTGTACTCGTCCAAAGAACAAGTGCCTCAAAAAGTTCACGTCGAGCCCTGCTGACACCTATTATTTTGTTTCATGTGCTTTTGTAGAGTCATTATGGTTTTATAATTGATTAGTATTTAAATGTTGCTTGATTTGAGTGACTTTTTGTGTTATTTTAACCTGTTTGCTTGATAATTAGCATCTCTTTTAAAGAACTTTGGTCAGCAACTGTCATTCGGATCACAGCCATTCCCAAAAAAGCCTGTCACAGATGCACACAGCAGATACAAAAGTCAGTGTGCTTTGAGGTGCAAACTGAACAGAAACTGCAGCACTGACATCCAACTGCATGTATGGTGGTGCTTCTTACAGCAGATTTAAATCCAAAACTCAGAACCTCCTCCGCAGCAGGTTTAGCCATGCAGCATCAGTTACCATGGTGATGTAGCAGGTCAAAAGACAGCCATCTTTGCTGACCCATTAATCTCACGTTGTGGTACTTTCCTCTGTGGTGAAGGGGGAACATGTGAAGCATTAAAGAACAAGTTCTTACTGTGGGGCCTGTATTTTTAATATAGTAAATCTAATAAAAGCAAATACCTGCTGTTTCACTCTGAGTTTAGATTCAGAATACCTCTGAAATCAGATGACTTGTGAAGGTCGTGCGACATCTTCTTGCTTTTATTCGATACTGAATAAAAACATATTGCTCAACAGTCAAAAGCAGTCCATGTTTGTTCATCATGCAAGGCGTGTTCTTCGGATAAATGATTCTTACTTTTATAATGGAGAGTCATAAAAAGTCCTGCTTGAGTAACTTCCTGTGCAATCTCGTGATGTGGTGTGACTCAAACGTTTAACATTCAGACACGTCAACCAGCAACGTCTAACTCCCTCAAGGCAGACTGCTGCCTGAACACAGCGAACCTCTGAATACTGCTGCACTAACAGGCCAGCATCCACACCTCTAGCATACGAAACATGACTTCAGGCTGAATTTGGTTAACAACTGATCTATCAACCGGTTTATTTTGAGAAAACACAAGTAGTTTCACTGAAAGTTTCTGTGAGGAGTTTCAATGACTTACTGATTTCTGAACAAAACAAAGAAAGGAGGTATAAAAAAAAACTGTTCTTGACAGGTTATTATATGCCTTGGATGGTAATTAAAATGCTGATGTTTGAACTTTCTGTATAAATGCCACAGCATGAAGAAGCGTTCACTACCTGGCTTTGTGTAAAACCTGAGAAATTACATACATGAGTCTGAATTGCTACATGGCATAATAATACATTTTCTCGTGCTATAATGACAGCGTAGGTTTAAATTTAGTTTTGCTGAATAGACTATAGCATGGAAAAGACGGCGGTTACCCAGGAGTAGCTTGTATACTTCAGTTCTGTACGTCTGCAGCAGTGTTTTTTTTTTTTTTTTAGACAACCAATCTATGGGAGTATTGTTCAGATTATGGTGGAACAACCTCAGTCAGCAGCAGCAGGGTTTATACAAAGTAAATCTACCAAAGGAAAAATGATAAAGGATAAAAGTAGGTCAGCTGGAACTGGGTGACATGCAGATAAAGTACTGAATACTGATATCCTGATAAGAGACGAGGTGACTCCCTACTCTGGTTACTGTGGCGGGGGCTGGAAAACGCATATCACAATGTTCATCATCGTACATGTACATTTGGTGCAAATCAAAGACAGCTTGAGCTACTTTAAGATTCTGAACTTCTGCACCAGACTTCCAGATGATCGGCAGGATTCATGCTCTGTGCTTATTGGAAATGTGACATGTTGTGATATGCGGCAGATTACATGTTGCTTTTTCATGTGTCAAAGTAAATCCACGTGTCTGAAATGATGGATCTATTCCAGTTGTGTGACATTAAAGGTGAATGTATCTTACTAAAGCCTCTTTCGGATGTGCACTCCTTCACCTAATTGTTAAACGAACTATCAAAATATAGCAACAGATAGCAGTGTAACATGAAAACGCATTTTAAGTTTCTGCAGCTAGATTATCATCACAAACGGAAAGCATTTTTTACTATTTAGAAAATCTAAAATCAACTTTAGTTTTAGCAGGTTAATGAGCTATTATTGATTTATAATTGTTTATTAGGGCATTATTATGCATTATACACCATTTCATATGTAATATTATTTTTGCCAAAATCTCTCTCTACATTTACCCTTCAATCGTGTTTTTTTGGGGCATTTTCAGATTTCTTGTCTGACACTGGCCCAAACAGCTCAGCTACCTGGGTTGGCCGCTTTAACATTTTTCAAATTTATGTACTACTTTTAGCTATATTTTACCGGTCATATCCATAAATTTTAATTTTTATCTATTACTTCTAGCTGACTATTTAAACTATTTCTTTCAAATATTTTTGCACTGCTTTCAGCTATCAATCTATTATTTTAACCATTTAATAATTTATTATATTACATATTTATTTCAGTAATTTCTCCAAACATTTACCAAATTATTTGAAAAGTTTATCATTTACTGAAAGAGAAATATGCACAATTTTTATGCATTTCTTTTACAGCAACTTCTTTGTTCACATGTTCACTATTTCTCAATCACAGCTTGGAGGTTCAACTGGCTCAATATGTGTCTTTCAAGGTATCCATGAAAACTACAGAAATAGAGAGTACAGGTAGGGCTTGATTAAACTTGCAGAGGCGCACGAGTACAGCTAGTGATGCGCAGTTTTTGTTCGTATATTACTTTCTAAGATTGGCGTCTATGGATTCTGCACATACTGCTTTTGTAGCGTAGTTGCCACATTTAGGTGCATGTAGATGTCCACAGCAGTGACAACATGGACTCCTGCTAACTTATCCAGATGACGAAATCAACATCACACAGACCTTCACATCCTCGCGGGAGAGGAAAGAATGACACCGGTCTTACACCTTGTGTCTGCATAGTTCTGTGTGTGTATCTCAGTCAACTCCATTCTTATGGGAAAATTTGTGATGTAATACGTGTTGGTGAAACTCCCCCTTCCACTTTTTTTCTGGTGCGGAATTTGCCTCAGGTATGTTGCAGTGAGTGGCATGAAGCTGCAATAAACAAGCTAGCAAACAGCCTATTCAGTTGCTTCACTATACTGACAGTTAGATTCTGTAAATGTCAATTTAAGAACAAACTAATTTAGCATACATAGTGGTTCATAGGTCTTTTATCAAAATATTCCACATCTGAAAGGCCAACCTCCTTACTTATTTGCACATGGTAACGCTTGATGCAAAAATTCTATAAACCTAGATTGTATAAACTGACAATGTTAACGTCTCCCACAGCTGCAGGAAGTTTCCATCCATTCGTAGAGTACAGTACACAAAATTGTGGGAAACCAAACAAAGCTGGGTGGAAACAAGCCACTGCAATCTTTGGTTAATGAGTATGTCAGGGTTAACTTGGGTTTATGTGTCATAAATTTCGAGTTTCGTAGCAACCGCTCAACAAAGACAATACCAGCACCCCAAAATTTGCATCCATTCACAACACAAATTCAGCACTGTGCATGCTTGGCAGTGGTGTTCATGTGCAGAATATGTAGATGCAAACCTACAGTGCATGTATGGACCTTGAAGTCGACTGGAAAAGTAGCACAAAAACAACTACGTGCCTCCAGCTATCCATCTGCACGTCCACAAAAGAGTACAATGACATACATTTTGCCTCGTCTGTGAGAGGCAGTGCAGAACCCACCACTCAAGACTGGCGTCTACATGGACCGTACACACAGTTGCAAATGCATTAATGTGCATTAACTCGTTACACAGACTGCAAATGAATGAAACAGTCTTTCAAGTGGACTACAATAGTAATAATAACAAGTCAGTGTCAGTGGTGTCTGCAGCTTTTGTGTTATCAAGCTAGGAATCACTCCTGTAGCTTACAAAGACATACTTTATCCAGGACACTTGAAATAACAGACTATGACTGGCCAAATCAAGTTCTGACATGCTTACCAACTGTGGCAATAGTCTCCAGGTCATCAAGGCAGTATATCCGGTTATTTGGTGATGCTTCTCCAGCTGAACTGCTGGCGTTGCCTTTACTTTCTTTCTGGGTCTCACTGTTGACTCCGACCTTTGCTTTGGAGGACGCCATTTCTTAGTTTCGGGACTAGCTCGACTATTTGGGTGTATAAATATCCAGAGGGACGTATGCAGAGCTCACATCATACATTTCTGGACGGAGACAGTCACCGGTTCTTTGTCTAGCTTTGACAGCGCACGTCGGATGCTGGTGACAGAAGCTTTTCACATTGGAGGATGAAAAGAAAGAAGTAGTTAACGTTTACCTTAACAAGTTCATTAACAGGCGGGGAGAAATTAAAGCCACCGACACGAGCGAGACAAAGAAGCCGGACACAGGTGCATTAGGCGTTAGCGGCTAGCAGCTAACAGCCCATGGTGTGTTAAAGACAGACGCACCGCAATACTGAAGGAACAAATATCTGAGTTTTAAGACCTCACTAAATCGATTAATTCCGAGGCTTTTCTGACCCGAGTTTACTGCTTTGCTCCATTATTTGCTCAGCTACAACAGCAGACCTCACCCAGCAGCTCCTCTTCTGTCCACATCAACCAGGAACAGCTACGGCGTCGCTACTCAAGTAACTCCCGGTCAGGACTTTCAAAGTAAAAGCAAACGCGAACCAGTTAAGTGAGTAAAACTATGTCACCGAGAGAATGGCAGTGTTTTCTCTCAAATTAAGTCAGTTTTAGTTTAAATCAAATTAACAGTATTGTTTCAAAAGCAGCTGACCGAGCAATTTTTAAAAATGCAAATAGGTTTGGTGCTTATTAGTGAACTTCCTGTAGTGGCTGTCTGACTGCTTCTTCAGTAACTTGACACGGAATGAAGACGGAGGCTGCATGTTGACAAAACGCAGCCAATGAAAACAAAGCTGTCCCAGCATGTTAACCAATCACGTGTGAGGAAGAGCGCGGTGATAAACACAGGTATGGTGAACTCAATCACCCAAAGGTGAAATAGAAGAAAGAATAAACAATCAAATAGTGTTGGTCAGAGAAAATATGATTTAAAAAAAAAAAAACACATTAAAAGTATACAGAATAAATAATAGGCTTTTTACTGCAAACACATCCTAGTCTACAAATTAATCTCAAAAAAGACTAAACTTGTGGCTGTGGGCTGCAAGTTGTGGTGGTGGTTAACACCATTGCCTCGCAGCAAGAAGGTTGCCGGTTCGCATCCCGGTGAGGACACCCTTTCTGTGTGGAGTTTGCATGTTCTCGCTGTGCAGCATGGGTTCTCTCCGGGTTCTCCGGCTTCCTCCCACAGTCCAAAAACATGTTGAGGTTAATTGTTGATTTTAACTTGTCCGTCGATGTGAATGTGAGTGTGCTTGGTTGTCTGTCTCTAAGTGTAGCCCTGTGATAGACTGGTGACCTGTCCAGTGTTTCCCCTGCCTTTGCCCTCAGTCAGCTGGGATAGACTCCAGCCCCCCATGACCCCAGTGAGGATTAAACGGTGTATAGATAATGGATGGATGTGTTTATTTTATATAGATAAAGTATATGTTATCGTATATTGCAGCAGTTGTCTGACTTTGATTTATTTATTCTATACTTGTTCTGTTTTATGGCAGAAGAAGCAAATAATAATAACAATGATAATAATAATGGAATATCTAAAGGAGATCAGTTTTATTGGGAATTTGTATTGGAATCCAGTATATGTGAGCACAGAGAGGAGAGAAGCAAACAAATGTAACGTACCTGCTGTGAGTTTTTCCTTTAGGTGTGTAAACCACCTTTTTGCTAAGTGATAACTTACTCTTGAACATTTGGATGTTTGGAATCTTTTGCATGGACAAAAGAAGCATAATAATAATGATTTCATTATCTCTGAGTTAACAAGCAGAGTGTTTCTTCTTAAAAACAATAAGCATCAAATACAGTGGAAAGGACATATTGAAAACAAAAAAAAAACAACAGGTGTCAAAGTAGAAACTGGAACAAAAGTGAAAAGTTTGAAAACTTGTGATCATTGAAATAACCAGTGATTTCTGATGAGGCTAACTGCATGAACAAAGCAACCTCATCAAGCTGTGTTTGATAAAGTCCAGTGTTCGCTCTCCTTCTCGCTCTCTATGTGTGTGCACCAAGAAAAAAAAATATGCATACATATTCTTTTCATCAGATTCATAAAGGCGGCGGCACACGGGCCTCATTTTCACTTTTTTTTAAAAAACAAAAAAACAAAATAGACAAACTAAGTTCTGTTTGTTATCAAGAAATGTGCTCGCTGCACCTTTCATCTGTCTTGATGGTGAGAAGAGCAGCAAAGAATAAAAATCTGCTGCTTTTTCCACATGTAACACATTTTGTGCAATGCTATTTAAAAAATAAATGCATGTCATCACATATAAACTGTTAAAATGACATTTGGTCAACTTCTTACAGATTTTTAGTGTTGACTTTAGAAGTTGTGCCACCATGCTGTGTGGAGATAAGATGTTGTTTCTATCCGATATTATCTTAAAAACCCCCAAATGAAGTGTGAGTCTCCTTTAAATAGCCAGTGGCTGTGTGGGCTATACATATCCAGGAGGTCAAAGTTCGCAGGAGGCGAAAGAGGAAATTCAAGACACGTGTGCACTGACATAAACTTAAAATACTCAAGACTGAGTCAGCTGCCAGCAAGGTTCGGTTCCCCTCCTGCGGTCAGAGCTGGCAGAGGAGAGCTCAAGTCCTGGCTGGACGCTGTGAGAGTTATTCATTTAAATATGGCTCGAGGTGTAGCATCTGCGCTTGCTTTGAACTCCTGTCTGTCGTACAAATGTGTATTTTAACACTGACATAACTCTCCTCCAGTATGGCATTAGCCCTCCACCAGCTAAATCAGGGTAACTCTGCATATCGGAGCCATTTGAACAGTATGGAATAATGGGCGCATTAACTTTAATCAAACATAATTCAGATTTCCTGATTTGCGCATTCAGTTGCTTCATAGTTTTAAAGTTTTCTGACCACATTAGCAATGCAAAGCAGAGCGACAGCTATTAGTATTCATGCTGCAGTCTGCCTTTTTCTTTTTTTTTTTTTTTTCAGACTGTCTGCAGCATGAATGGAATAGTGATGCGTTTGATTTAGACAGAGGTGGCCTAACATTTGCACTTGCGTCCTCAAGCTGTGAAACTATTTGGCACTCCATGCTACTGCAGCAGCCCTTCTGAAGCTGCCTGTCAAACATTAAAGAAAAAAGAGAGAGGGGTTTTTAGGACGATCTTGGGCTGAAAGATAAGGTTTTGTCAAGTGCTTTGGATCCACCTGATGGGATTGAAGGAGTTATCACAACGAGTGAGACTTTAAGTAATTATATCAACAAAGAATGTGCTCAGCAATATCAGCCAGTGATCTGCTGCTACGGAGAGAGTTTAATAAAATGACTTTATTGATCATGAAAAGGAGCCATTCAGCATTTAATTCTTGTTTGCACTTCTTGCATGAGAAAATACATATGTAAAATACAGCAGAAATGAACTTTAATGTCAAATGATTGCAAATTGTATCACCTCATAGTTGTTATGTTGCTTCTAAATTGAACAGTAGGTATTTGCTGTTTTGCAATTGTTTTGGAAGCTATGTTTTTCAGCTGATCTTTGCTAGTGTGGCTGTGTTTCCTCACCTCTGTGCTTCACTGTCAGGACTATGCATTCACTCTGGTAGTTTTGCAAACATGCTAGACCCCATCTGATGTACTGTAGTCTCATTTGATCAAAGGATGCGCTCCCAATATTCATTCGTTTGATGTTCTTTAGGAAAGTTTATTATTTGTGCTGGACAGCAATAAAATGTTCTTTCTTGGTTGCAATGAGGAGGTTGATGTCATACAAGGTCCTCTCGCTGTCTAAACTGCCACAGAAACTTTCTGCTGAAAACCTCTTGTGTTTTTCAGAGCCTCTCTGTGCAAGTAGAGCACCTTCTATGGCAGGGGTGTCAATCTCAAAAACACAGTGGGTCAAAATTTAAAACCTGAACAAAGTCGCGGGCCAACATTGAACAAATGAACCTTTTAATATGGACCGAAACAAATTTTGCTTTAACATTAAATATGGAACAAGCAACGCTTATTCCCATATATTATATATAAGTTAATAGTGGAGACATGCAAAATCAAATTCTAAATAAAAAAACACATCAATGGCACAGTTGTAGTGTGAAGTCGCTATGCCTACTGTCACAGAGGAGAGGGAGTTTCTGGGTCCTGTCCTGATTGACGTGCCAAAACAACAACAGGGCATTATGGGATTTGTAGTATTAGCGGTGAATGCGCTGTACAGTATAATATCGGGGGCAGCTGTAGCAGTCATTTGGTATTGTCTCACGGGCCAAATATAATTACAAAGCGGGCCAAAGTTGGCCCGCGGGCCAGAGTTTGACACTCCTGTTCTATGGGGTCATTTTAGGACGACCACTGCAGCCCTGGTTAGCGGCGCTATTGCTCCTTCTAACTGCTGCTGCAACTGTAGTTTCGATTGATTTTCCGTTGGTCTAAACTGGATAAATGCTGTGTAAAGACCAATAATGCTGCTTCATAATCAAGATGCCTCTGATGCTTCATTTGAATCTCTGGATGTGGAATTTTATCAGCATGTTTAAAGTCTTAAGTCAACAAAAAGCTGCATTATTTAGTTAATCCACAGTAGAGGCACTACATCGGAATTAACTTCCTGTATCCTTTTCCATCTTTGTGGACTTTTGCAATCAGATTTTTCAGTTACATATAACTGGGATATTGAAGAATGCAATGCAAATCTGAAATCCACGTCTCCTAGAAGCTACAATATTCACACCACATTTCGACTATAAATGTGTTTGGGTCTGTTGCAGGATTGCATCAACTGGGTTCATACCAGCTTAACCGTCCATACGAGATGTGTGACAATGCTAAAATCAAAGTGGTCGTTGGGTGAATTTCATGTCTCTATTATTGTGAGGTATTTTAGACTGGCACTTGATGGGGAAATTTCATTAAGATCATGCATGTGCCATCACCTTTCATCGCAAATGCTGTATTTGCATGATATATTGGTCTTTTTTTTTAAACTCTCAAGCAGACATACAACACCATCTGTTGCTGGACTCCCTGTTGTTCTTGTGGCTGCAGACAGTTATTCATGACTCTGGCTGCTTGTTTAGGCTCATTGTCCGGCTGCAGAGTGAATTTGGGACAATCAGATGCCACCTGGATAAAACCTGGAGTCTAAAACCTTTGCAGAGCTCAGCACGTCCAATTAGCTTCGCCAAAACCATAATTGTTGCCGGGATTATGCTTACTAGAAAATACTTCTCAATTCGGAGAAGTCGGATATTTCCAGATGACATTTGGACCGAGCAGCAGAAATCACATCCAGCATCCTGTGTGTGTTGTTTGGTTCATGCTGCTGCACTAAAGAAAACCTCTGAGCTGACTTTTTGTGTCGGTACAATGAAATCAACTGAAAGAGCAGCGTAATTACTTAGATTAGCAACAGAGATGAACATTGATCATTAGACTTCACATCTTCCTCTTTCGTGTTCATCTTTCTCACAGCATCTATTTTTACATGTGA